CAGGGGACCGCTACATCGTGGCCGACTGTGGCGGAGGGACCGTGGACCTGACGGTGCACCAGATCGAGCAGCCCCAGGGCACCCTCAAGGAGCTCTACAAGGCCTCCGGTGAGCAGGGACCCATAGAGTGCCACTCCACCCCCGTCATAGAAGGGACCCCCAAAGGCCATCTAGTCCAACCACCTTCTGCCATTCTGCAGGAAAAGCACCATCAAAGCATCCCGATGCGTGGCCATCCAGAGTCCTAGTGTTGGAAGGGACCCCCAAAGGCCATCCAGTCCAACCCCCTTCTGCCATCAGGCACAATTCAAACCCTCCTCTCAGGTGGCCATACAGCCTCAGAGACATTAACAGATTCGTGGAGACATAGGGCTGTAGAATCCTGGAAGGGACCCCAAAGGCCATTTAGTCAAACCCCTTCTGCCATTCTGCAGGAGAAACACCATTCAGAGTCCTTACTTATTTAGGCGATCCCTCGTAGTCCAAGGATGATGGTCCTCCAAGTGTAGTGTCCTGGCGGTGGGTCCATAGTGACTGTGGAGCCCTCTTCTTGACCCGCATCTTCTCCCTCAGTGAGGGCATTGGTTTCCAGGTGGAAGGCGGTCTCGGTCGGGGTTGGCTTGACGCGCCTTCCTCTTGGCACGTTTCTCTCTTTCGCCCTCCATTCGTGCCTCTTCACATTCTGCAGCACTGCTGGTCACAGCTGACCTCCAGCAGGAGCGGTCAAGGGCCAAGGTTTCCCAGTTCTCAGAGTCCCAGGGTTGGAAGGGACCCCCAAAGGCCATCCAGTCCAACCCCCTTCTGCCATAAGCACAATCCAAACCCTCCTCTCAGGTGACCATGCAGCCTCTGAGACATTCACAGTTTCGTGGAGACATAGGGCTATAGAAGCCTGGAAGAGACCCCAAGGGCCATCCAGTCCAACCCCTTTCTACTATGCAGGAAAAGCACAATCAAAGCCCTCCCAACAGATGGCCACCCAGCATTTGTAATAATAATAATAATAATAATAATAATAATAATAATAATAATAA